GTTAAAGTTTACAAAACCACGCACAATACTTAAAGAACAATAGTACTTTACTACAGTCAAGACAACAATGTTTTGTTCGGCTATATGGTAACGTAAAATGAATTTCTAGAAAGAGTTAAAGATTTTTATAAATTAATGGTGACAGCAGAAGATTCAATACTTAAAATCTTTCTTGCTAACTGTCCAATTCACAACTTACTTATTATCCTTTAATTAGGAATTGTCAAAAGAATATTTCTTTCAATTTAGTTTTAACTCCTTGTATTTGAAAAATTAACTCCATAACTCGTTTATTCGACTATAAAGAAAATATACATTTTATAAGTTCTGTGACAATTTATGTAGATAAAATTAGATCAAACAAGTAGCTACAATTCTTCCAAAGATAGAATTATATAAACTAAAAGAGTTAGTTATGGCCACATTTGGGTGTATACAGTATTCGTGTAGTATGTTGTTTTGATTAGGTCTGCATATTTAAAAATTAATTGTATATTTACCATTGGCCTTACAAGGGCATTCATTGTGGTTGTTGGACTCACCGTACAACTAGTTTTTCCAAATTTGTTGCATTGCTGAACCAATATTTCAGAGCTGTAGAAAAATATCCTCACCGAATTTTAATTCAATTTCCGTTTTAAAAGTTTTAATTACATTTTATGTAATTTGTTAATGTTAGAAAGCATACGTACCCGTAATGTATACGTAGTCATAATTTCAAATAAACACCCTCAGATCAGCTCATAAATGGTGTATACCAAAGCCATACAAAGTACCTTCACACGGTAAAACATATCTTCAAATTGTACGAAAAAGGGAGAATATTAGCCGGTCCTACTGGGACAACAAAACTACAGTAAATAGCCTGCAAATGGTGTACTAAACAAGAATGTAAAATATTACACGCTTGCAAAACATGTCTTTGTATGTAAAAGACATCTGGATAACTGTATTGCATTTTTAAATTCTGTCAACGACTATATCAATAAAATTGTTTCATACAATGGGTTGGTTGAGAAGTTGATGAGAAGTTATTATTTATGAAATGAAATGGTGTTTATTGCCATGAACATATGAAATATAGAAGCAAAATTCTTAAACATACAGTGCCACAGAAAATCCTACAAAGTTTCAAAGTTGATTTGGAAGAACTTAGGTTTCTTATGAAGCGCCCTAACTTATTTTATACAACTAACCTCATACCCACACAAATACCCTGACGAGGCGACTTATAAAATAGTTTACTGTCCCGGATTCAAGAATTTAACTCTGACCCAGACAGTTGAAGCAGCGCAGTATGGTTGTGGTATTTAATTTGCAAGCGAAGAAATATTTCATAATGGCGCACTTCCGATTCCAGCTAGGAACTAGGGAGTTATAAAGACGGTCGGGTCTAGGCTAGGGCTAGGAAGTATTGAACAACGCATAGAGCTCGACAAAGATGGCGGCGATCGAACAATGGCGGAAAGAGGCCCTCCAAAATGGCGGCTTTCCGGCACCTTTCCGTTTTTTCTTGCGATAGGGTACCAGGCCAGGATATGAGGGCGATACACGGCTATTCACATAGACTAATAGACAATAGACAGCCATTGTTTGATTTGTATCGTTGTGAGATTGAGATTCCCTGTAAGAACTTAGACAAATTGGAGTCAGGTTTTAAAAGTTTTGGCGTTATAATGTTTACATTATTGCCGTTCTTTGGCTATATATATAGTGAATCGCGACAACAACTATAGTTGTATAAAACAATCAGTACATGAACTGAATATCAAAATTAGTAGTAGAGGTGCTATTTTGTAAGAAAAACTACAAACACCTACGTTTGTAGGAGAGGTTCCTTGGATACAAGTCTAATAACTCGTTATCAGGACAATGCCTTATATTATTTAAAATGCTTTTGTCATTTAATTATTTTAGTTATAAAAGGATTGTTATTAGAGAACTGCTTGGGTTAGTCTCTTGTATGACGAAGACAATATATATTTGTCTTATGAACAAGTAAAAATAAGTAATACACCAATGATAGTTTTACGATATTAAACTCTACAATATTCAAAATAATCCATTGGCTGTACACTAGATTTTGAAGCACGAATTAATGATGCACATATGCAGCTGCACACGTAGCACGTAGCTTTTCAGTTGAATTAGTTAACGTCTCTAGTTCTAATTAATTAGACATTACATGGAGTGTCCCACTTGCAGGTCCCCAAGTGTCATTGTTCAAGAGCTAATTTACATTTAGTTTTTAACAGACTAACCAGGCAGGCTTGTCATTTATTTAACTATTCACAACTAGACAAATGTAGTTAGTGTTTTTAATGGGTTAGTTAGCACTTTCTAGGATAATATCTATGTTTTGACATTCATTAATACATTTTATTGCCACAAAGAGAAACATGCAAAACTTTGTTGACTAGGAGCACAGAAATGCGTCTAGTATCTTGCAATGTTTTCGGCCGCGTTTATTAATATTTTACTTTTACTGAGAAAATCCTGTAGCTCTATCACTCATAGTAATATTTAGAAACGGATTAGAGAAGTGCATCCCACAGGGGAAAAGCTTACTGACTTACATGTACCAAGTTTTTTCCAAGTTATAGTTTTTAGTAAAGAAATTAAAAAAGGGTGATATGGTTTATTTTTATATTAATAGTAATTATAACAATATGCCATTAATTTCAGAAGCTTTGTGATAGTGATGTTAGTGAGTAGCTATAATTTTTTGAAGTTTTATTCTATGTTGACAAAACTGTTGGTTTTCGGAAGAGGAACAAGTTTAGCTTTGCTACCACACTGGGTAAAATAAATCTATTGCGAGTATATGATAAATGAAAATGAAGAACATACATTTTTCAAAGATCAGAACCTTTGTAAGTGTAGACACTTTATTATTTGTTTACGAAAGAATCTTTTTTGTTAAATGCGCATTGTTTAGTAATATTACTATATTGGTTACATAATTTAGGGATTAAGAAATCAAGTTTTTACAAAATGTAACACTGCTCAAACATCTCAGCATGGGAAATAGTTTTGTTTTGTACAATATTGTCCAATAATTAGGCCTGATAGCTTTACATGACCTATATTCTATATCACATGATAAGATTCAATGGTAACTGTTTTACAACAATGCAGCACATACTATAATTGTATATTGAGAATGAGTTTATTGTACAAACACAATATTATTTACCGGTCTGTATATATCTGGCAAAGGTTTATCAATGGTGTTTGAATATAAGATGTCGTATTGGCATCACTCCCGCCTTAATTATATCATCAACAACTGTTATAGAGGTGTAAATAAGAATAAACCAAGCATTTTGTGTGCTGTGTAGTTAGGCTACATAAAAACTATAAAATTGTATACAGGTAAAAGGGTGTTAAGAAAAACGTAGCAAAACTCAAGACCTAAAACCTTCTTCTTAACATGACCGTTTACAGCCGGGAATGACGGGCTGTGGTGTGTCGGGCGGGGCGAGGGCGAGATTCGTTATTTGGGCCAATATTTCAGCGGAGGCCGGTTGTCAAGAGTAGTTACGCAATTAAATGTGCATCCATGCATAATGCATCAGCAATATGCATAGACCATGCATGCATGCGTCTTGGCTTCCCGGCCGGACTGCAACCTAACTACCCGAGTGGAAATTTGTTGGGCCGTAGAATGCAAATTAATTGGGTTAGAGTTACAAGAGAATCGCCCCCTCTGAAAGTGTATGCGGGATCCGAAACTGAATTAAAATATGTTTGTATATTCCTTGTATACTTGTGGTATTAATTATAACCATTAGTTAATCCATATGTGGATTAATTACCCGGTACTTCTAGATTAGCTACTATAACAAACTTGACGAAAAGTATTCTTCAGGTGAACAATTAGAGAATGTGATCGGTCCGAGTGGGACAGCTGGTGGTCTGTAAAGATAATAAGCCTCTAGCTTTCACAGAGAGGTCCAATATAACGAGCATGCAGCCAACATGGGCAAGTCAGTGACGTCATATTACAATTGATGGGTGTACGGATAAATTCACACAAACATTGGTGAGTCAACATCAGTCATACGATTGTATTCCGTACTTATTGATATTAAATAGAGGTCGTCGAGTGGTCAAAAGCTCGACCAAAAATATCTAATGCACAGACTCCTCTACGTATTTTCACATCACACTGTAAAGAAAACGTGTAAATGGAATATCTTCTATTTGTTTTGATTTTCTGTGTATATTTCGTTGTAATTTCGTCACCAGCATACCTATAAGGCTTATGTTATATTTTTTTTATTTTAAATTCATTTCTTGTGCTTATTTTTGAGCCCATTTTAATTTATAAAGGGATTCTGCACACCTACAGGAAAATATCTTTCTAACAGTATGCGTATATTTTCCCTACGATGCATACGAGCTGAGATAAAAAGTTTTAAAGAAACATGCTTGCCTACAGTAGATGGTGTGTGATTTATGTGCATTTCACAGTTGCGTGGTTGAGTTTCCCATAGAAATGTGTTATAATATGTATGGCATAACCCACACGTTGTTCTAGTCCAAGATTGTTATAGCAATGCATTTTATGGTCAAGTGACGTTTCCTTCATTTTCCAATCCAAAACGACTTCGTTTTAAAATTTTTTCGACTTACAAAATCTGAATATTCCAGCTATTTAAGGATTTTTATCTAAGCGATTCGAGTTTTTGAGTTGTTTAAATTAAAATGTAGAGAACGTAAAAACAAAAACGTTAGAGCTTCCCCAGCTATTTCAGTTTTTTTCAGTTTTTTAGACATCATAAGGATAGTGTAGTTTCAAAAGAGATTCTGTTAACTTTGTGGTATGGACTCGAAGAATTGAAGAAAGAAAACTTGAACGAATATTGACAAGGTTTAGCGACTTAGTGTTTTATTATTATCAATAAATTTAGCAGAAGTCAACTAAACATCCTTCTCTTCACCCAAGCCTTCCTCTTTGCCATTCCTTCAAATGTACCACATAAAGTTGAACTCACAGGCGCGTGCGTCAGCGTGTCCGGGTGTCCAGGCTGCAGACACAGGTTACACTTGTCGGAAGGCTCCCAGTCCTGGGTCTCCATAGGACTCTCGACACAAGCCAGCTCGCTCGACACCAGCTTCTGCAACTGTCTCCATTTTCTTCTGCCCATCAACTCTTCAGCGACACGTTCCAAGCCTGCAAAACAAACAGGATATCAGTACGCTGCTCAGATACTTAAAGCTACCCATGAAAACACTACATTTCAAGAGCTTCGTCTCGTAAACGGTTATTTAACAGTTCCATAAGACATAACAAAATACCGATGATGTATTTAGTGAGTCGGTGGCTCAGTCGGTAGCGTCGCGGACTTCGGGCCCAAGGCAGGATTGTCGTGGGTTCGGATCCTGGTCACTGCTGATAACATTTTATCACCTTGTACTGTACCGGCTCACTCCTTGCTTTGCTGTAAAGCTAAGTTTACACTAGCATGTAGCAGTGGCGCCACTTTTACTGGCTTCAAAGTGGCGCCAAAAATGGACCGTGTAAACCCCTAATGACGCGCCATTTTTAGTGGAGAGGCGCAGTGGCGAGCCAACTGGAGTGACGCCACAAATATATGTTTTGACAAATATTAGTGGCGCCAGTAGCGACTGACGCGCCATCTGTACTGACGCGTCACTTGCGGTGGCCCGTGTAAACCACAGTTCCAGTGCTAGTGACGGACGTCTAGCTCCATTTTCATTTGTTTACCTTGCTTGATCTCTGTATAGACGTGTGTTTTTCGGTGTTAATTAGTATAATCTTTTGTTTAATTTTATATTAATTAATTAGTCGGGCTTAATCCGACTCACAATGTCACGTGCTTCCTCCAATAACTCTTCACTAACCACATCAATCGCCGTTCCTAACACATTCCGAACACTCTCAATGCTATCGGACATTTTGAAGGTAATCCCTTTACTTTACTTTGATGTTATTTGTTGTATAAATTGTATAAGAGACAACAGCTACAAAATAAAACCAACCATTTCTGTGCAAAAAACTCGAGTGTCTCCATGAAAATGGCGTCATTAACAGTGGCATGGCTTGAACACTCCCTTTTGTGTGTAAACCGCTAGTGTCATGACACTAAAACTGGCGCGATTTAGTGGCGCCACTGCTACATGCTAGTGTAAACTTAGCTTAAACGATCCACGCACGGGCGCTTAGTCTATGTGGACGGGCAAGCAAGGTTAAAAGAGGCCGCCAACCTCTTTAAAAAAAAATAAATAAAAAAATAACTTTCAGTTGATTGGTTGAAATGCAATTCATGTCTTCCTTGCCTAAAAAAGGAACAACACTGTGTAACTAGTGGTGCGGTTTACATCCCTTGTATATTAGACTATTTGTTGGGTTTGGAGCACTATTACTTAAAATGGTGTGTAATTCTTCTTAATAACTCTCGTTGGGTTTGGTGATAGACATTTAAAATACACCAAAATGTGGTTTTATACACATTTAGCCATGATATTTTTAAGTAGAGTCACTCCAGGATATTTCAAACAACCCATATCATAAAATACTCAATTGGGTTGATAATAAAGAAAAGGTGGGTCAAATAACCTTTAATCAATGACAAAATTCGAATAGGTGATGACAAGTCACACTAAAACGATAATGTGTAACCCTTATATTCATAATAATTAGACTATCAGAAGGATTTAACGCGGTTTGAAGTCTTACGCAACAGTTGAAATGCCAATATAATCCTAATTATCTAAATGCAACGCGTGATCTCTCACACTATACGTCTGCGGTCGTAGTTGAAGTTGAATGTAGGTGTTTTATGAGGGCGTTGACGATTGTTTCCTAGCTGATTTCGCGGTCCAGTTTCAGCGATATGATTGTTCGTCGGTGTGATAAGGCACGGCGTTGTCGATAGTTGGTCGAGGTAGAATGGTAATCGATAGGTCGAAACAGACCAAGTCATATTCAGCCTGAGGTTAGACTAAACATGAGTACCATATCTCGCTTTACACTTTATAGATGTGTAAGCCTACTATAATTTGTACTAGCTAATACCACAGAGAAGAAAATACTTATCCCACGGCAAATCAAGCAATTTAAAACTGCAAAAAGTATCACGCTTGCTTAAGAATTACGTTTAACCCTCTACATCGATTTCGTTAAAAACTCTTAATTTGAAAAACACGTTTTTTATAAGAACGCTTTCAACGACTCATGTGCAAATCTATTTTAGCAGCCCTTGCTGTACATCGCATTTTCAAAAATGTGAATTTAATGTTTGGGATAAATTTTAAAAGGATAATTCGTTTTGTACTTATCAGTTTTGTTAATATTTGTGGTCATCATGCTGTATTGCAATGGCTATCACACTTTATGTTTTATACTTTGCAGAGAAAAATACAACGAGGTAAAGTCATATATCTGTAAAGGATCAAAATTCTCACTATGAGACTCACCTTTTCAAACAAAGATTTAAATACTATACAGTTATTAAACGTTCTTATTGAAGTCCGATCAGTGACATAAGATAGCTCTCAAATACAGAACTGTATCTGATATAATTATTGGTTTTATATGTCCAATAAACTATATAAATAAATACGATTAGAAAGAATAAGTCGTATAAGTCTCTTAAATGTTTGTTTCAACTTCAAGAACTCTTTATTTTTCGTTTTGCTGTTTTTATAGTTGAAAGATATTTTTATACTGTACTAGACAGGCGGCAAACACTCATTCCGATTAGCTAAAACCTCCATCGCGTATACAGTATTTCACTCAACTCAGGCTTATTTTATACTCTAATTACTAAGCTCAAGTATCAAGTAGTAAGTAAGAATACATACGCATTGTCTTCACTGGATCGTTCTGTATTACGTAACAATACACTGTAAACGTGTTAACAAATTGGGGGATTTAAATTTACCAGACAATTTGGATAGAAATCAATATAATAAAACGCGAATTCTATGAATGGCAATAGGCGAGTTTAATTTCACCAGTAAGCTTGTGACAAACGAAACTGAGAAATGCCACACAAAGTAACTGGATGATTCAACACATAGTTGCTCTAAAATGTGGTCTAAATGTGTTGGTCCTATATCATTCTGTTGCTTGGCAGTTGAATAAACAAAGACCGCTTGAATAAACGAAGAATCAAACAATATATACACAGAATTTCGTTGTCCAAATTTATACTTTATGGTTTACGATATCATAAATTTTTATCAAAACAATTATGTTTATCCTTCGTATTTATAATTACTATGGAATCTCTTAAAACCTATTAGGAAACATCTGTTAAAAGGAACCCTTTGAAAAAATGTAAAACGTGTTTGTATTCAAAACAGTAGTGTACTTCATAACTAAAGAATGTGATTATTCTCGTCAAGAGTTCAAGCGACTAAGGCCAAAGTTTGAAAATGAACAAGGGTCGAAAAAACATCCACTTTAAGGCCTAAATTATGGTAATTCACTAGTAAATTGACATATTTTTCTTCATACTTCCCTAATCTCTAAATTAAACTCACAAAAAGAATTAGGTGTTCTGTTTATCTCACAAGTTAGTCAGCTACCAAAATCGCTTCCATCTACGACATACTAGTAGTTACATCAAATTACGATATAAGAAATTACGTAGCCTAGAAACATACTGTATTTGGGAGTTATTGATCAGTTTTGGTCCTTAGAAGAAAGTTATGCATATCAGATTTTACCCCACCTACGCAATAATGAATTCAAGTTCAAAAACTTAGGTGTTTTACACGATCAAGCTGTATATCGTAGTTAAATAAACAGAGTAACACAATGATAAAACAATTGATTACGATGGAATGAATTTAAAGAATGGAACTATTTTCTTCGTCAAAATCAAATTATAAAGTGAAAGGTAATCGGCTGATATCTTCTGATATACTCACACTTTTGACTCTTAGGAAAAATACTAATTTGGATCTTCAACTCGTGTATTGAGAAAACCCTTTTCCGCAGTATGACGGAGGATTAATTGTTACTATTTGTTGTCCAAAATATTAACACTACATAACTCTATTGAATCATAATGTTATTCATGGTGTCTTCATTTGAATTTGTTGTAATATATGTGTTATTTTGCGTGTATTTTGGACTTAACAATTGTAACTTTCCCGACACTTGAGGATATTACGAGTCCACAAACAATCTAAGGTAAGGTATTAGAGAAGATTTCTGACGTGTTGGAACAAATATAAAAATAATATGAAAGTGAGGTTACGTTTCCAACCAAGTACAAATGGTAATATTAGCAGGTTACGCGCCACTTTAGCTGTCAGATATGCAGGCTAATAATATTTTAATGTTCACCCTTAACCTAAATACCCCCGCCGCAGCAAACCTGCCGACTAAGCGAATTTCCATTTGTCTGAATTGATTTTCAGTTAAATACATTTTAACAAGGAAACTAATAAAGTGTGTTTTTGAGTAAAATATTGATAGCTTAGTACAAAATAAATAAATTTGCCAAGTTTGATCAAAATATATCCATAAACAAGCAAACTACAACATTTGACAATATTCTCTATAAGAATAACATGGGAATTTTAAATTTACAATTTTTTTAATTTTCTCCGTTACTAATAATCGAACAAAAATACTTTTATATACTAAATTATTTGTTTTTTTAAGCTCTTTAAAAAGGTCTAAAGAGAAATCGGGAAATTTTGTGTTTTGAGGGTCAAAAGTGAGAAAAACCAATTTTTGCCCCATAAAACCCCCCGTAAAGCCCCGTTCCCATGGTCCGATCGTGCTGGTACGCGAACTCATTCAAGTTTATCCATATATAACATTTATACATATATAAAAATTTGAACGAATGGTGTTTTTGGCCTCTGGGGACATCAAAATGAAAAAGTAAATCGGTCCCGGGTCTAGGTCTTACCGTGCCACCTACGGTAATAGCTACTTCCCTATAGGGAAATTCGCTAAAAACAAGTTTATTTGACCAAATGAATTCCTCTTTCCTCCTTTTGTGACACACTACTATAACGTCAACAAGTATGCGTATGTCCCTCACCATATTGTCAATCTATACAGCCGTCAGCTGATAGCTGATAGCATCAATGAAAATTTACTTCAACATCAGATAGTCTCTACTCAAGAATATTACTACAACATTGTATCTTGGCATTCTAGAGTTATTGTAGAAACTGGTATGA